AAAATCTGCTACTCAGTTTCATGTGGTAATACAATGATGTAAATTTTGGAATGCTCTAAAATATTTTTTAAGCTGTTATATGTCAAGGTAAACTCTGGACGACACTAATTGATGCAATTTAATGCCTAATAAAACAAATGAGTAAAGATTGCATTTTTATTTTATTTATATATATTTATTTTTTCTAATGCAAATATTATTTAATTTAATAAACTATTTGTGTTTATTTATTTTAAGAAATAGTCTCAACTGTTTTCTTTTAATTTTTATAGTCCTGTATATTGGCTTGGGAAAAGCCAACATCCCAAAACATTGCTTTTATAGATATTTTAAAACATTGTTGCTATACTCATAATTACGCACACACACACGAACTGGGATTAAATATATATTGGAATCTAACTAAATGATGGATAAAGAAGAAATGGGAAATATTTCTCAATCTAATATCTTTTATGAAGTGAAACATTTTAGAGTGAATATAAGAAATGTTTATAGATTGATAAAAGTTTCCTATTTGTTATCTATCCTACAAATATATATATATATATATATATATATATATATATATATATATATATATATATATGAGAGAGAGACTTGAGTTCAGATAGACATTTTAATTTTAACTCTCTTGTCTTACATCAAAAGAATATGGGGATATAAGTTTGATTTCACTAATGCCAGCCTAATTAAAAAAAAGAACATAACCTTTTAAGGACAAAATATTTTGAATATATATTCATAGCATTACTACCAACTATAAACACTCATTTAAATCATTGCATCATATCAACATTTTTTCTACAGATCCGTTATTCATGAATCTAACTTAAGTCTAAAATAATGAGGATTTTACAAATTTCCTTTTTTCAAAATTATGCATGTTAAATCTAACCAAAACTAGATTATTACAATATCTTTTGTTTCGCCAACTCACACAGACTTTACCCATATACACATACATGAAAATTTTAAAATTCAACCAAATGCAAAATTATTTTGCATCACATCGCTACATTTCACCCACAAAATACTAGGGTGACATCTGTAGACTTCCCTCACATACACACTTATACACTTACATGAATTAATGTTACTATCCTACATACACTTACACACACACAAGCATTTCTTTATTTACACACTTTTACATGCTAAATGTTTCTCATCCCTCCCACTGAAATTTTTCTCTTTGATATAAATTAAATTTAAATTTGGACAAGGGAATGACTCCTATCCAAAATATGGAAGGAGAAAACCAGAAGATAGAGGTCACCTCGGTAAGATCATTGAGCAACATTGAAATGCATCATTTTCTCCACAAATTATAACAATGATTTAAAGTCAATCATTTTCTTACAAAAATGTGTCATATGCAATACAGTAGGCACTTTGTGTATATATATTTGGCTATATGTATATATATATATATATATATATATATATATATATATATATATATATATATATATATGATAGGAAAAATACTAATTTATCTATTTAGGTTGTTTATACATTGATTTTAACATCCAACTGCTTGATTATAAAATGTCTATAATTGTTGGTTAAAAATAAAGTAAACAGCCTACATTTTATTTTTAGCCCAAAATTTAAGAAAGCAGTCTCAGTAAACTTTCACTGAAGACAGCTCGTTTCCTCCTGGTTTTTGCTTAATTAGTAGGATGTCAATTAAAAAAGATAATCTTATCTATGTTATGTATTGGCACTCTCTGGTCAAAGTGTGGCTCCCTGGCCATCTGCCTCGGATCAATGTCTCTAACTTATCTGTGTAAACAGCAGAATGATAGTGTAATGGAAATGTTACTTGCTTTCTTAGTTTTGTGCATACACCTTCAATTCAAGACAGGAGTCACTTGTTAATTTTATTTATTTACTTTTGTATGAGAGAAGTTAGGGATAAAGGAACAAACAGGAAAATGTCACACTGTTGATTATTGTATTTGATGGTGATGGTTAAAGGGCAGAAATCACTTTATATATAATTTTATATATCTATTTGGTTTCATTTCTGTCTAAATTTCTGGAATGAGGAGTTATTATTTACATTGTTACTATTGTCTGTATCTTTTATTATCATGTTTCAGCTGTTGTGCTTTCCAGCCTTCATCAGGTGTTTGTTGGTAACAGCCAGAGGACACAACAGTTGAAATGTTGCATGAATAGTGCCAATAACTATTTTGTTTAACATGAAAAAAAGTTAGAGAATAAGAAATGGAAAACAATAAAAGTCACACTGTTTATTATCATAGATGACAGATTAAATGGCAGTATGCATTTGTTAATTTAGTACAGAGAAACAAAGTTACATTGTCGTACATGATATTTGTATATTATTATTTTTGAATAAAAATGACAATAGGAAAACTAGTAATTGCTGACGCATTTTCGTCATGTGGATTTTTTTATCAAAGCAAAATACAAAAAAAATTTTTTTTTTTGTACTTTGCTTTGATAAAGTCCACATTGCACGAAATGCGTCAGCAATTACTAGTTTTCCTATTGTCATTTTTATTAATAAATATTGTCTTCTCTACTGGTTAAATCGAAGAAATTTTCATATTATTTATTGCATTTTTGCTTGCTGCATTGAAAGCAGTATCTAAAGAAATTTTCTTGTACATAGAAAATGTACATATTATCTCTGCTTGTGGCAGATTCTCTTCTACAAAAGCCAAATGAAGACAACAGAAACCCCATATAATCAACAGTATATAAATATGAGTAACTCTATCTCAACCTGCGGCAGATTGTGAACCTCACAGGATTTAAGCATTTCAGTCATCATGCAATATTTCAGTCCAAAAGTTGCCCAGGCTGCTGGGAGTAGGTGTTTTTATTGAGTGACTATCTCTAGGCTGGTTACTCACCAAGGCTAGAGGGTCCAATCTGCTCTGCTATATTACTCAATGTTAAGGAAAAAAAGATGGAGTCATAAGTTTTTGAAGGTGTGAAAGTGAACGCAATGAACTCTGCTAACCTTTATGCTTCTCACGCATCCAGACTATATATAGAAATCATTTTTTTTTTTTAATTTTTATTATCAGAGGCACATTAAATTAATTAGATAAGACTCGTTTTCTTTGAGTCATTCTAGATAAGATTAATTAAAAAGAAAATTTTCTAAAGATAGATATGTAATAAAATATTTCAGTAAATTATTTAAAAAATGCTCATCGGAACAGTTGCTGATAACAATTGATGTTGCATTTAAATAGTCGAAGATTGTAGTTATCAAGAAGGCAAGTAAATGGAAGGGAGTTCCACAGGTAGAAAGTGTGAGAAAAGAAACTATTAGAACACAATTGGCAGTTACATTTAACTATTTCAACAGTAAAAGGATAGGATCTAGATGCCAGTCTAGTAGCATGCTTAAATTCATGTATTTGAGGGACTAGGGAAAAAAAAAAGCTTCTCAGAGCAGTGCCATGTTTTATGCTAACAGCTTCTTTTCTTGCACTTCTCACTTGTGGAGCTATCTTCCAAGCGTCTTGCTTTCCAGTCAATGTTGATCTTCAAAAATTTAAATGTATTCTTCTTCTTCTTCTTCCTCTTCCTCTTCTTCTTCTTCTTCCTCTTCCTCTTCTTCTTCTTCTTCCTCTTCCTCTTCCTCTTCTTCTTCCTCTTCTTCTTCTTCCTCCTCCTCCTCCTCCTCCTCCGTGCCTGTCTAGCTCATTAACTTATAGCAGGCATCTACTATGGTTATATATGGTTTTAGTTTCTTCCCCAAAGAGTACACAGTTAACTTTTTGACTATTTTTGATCTAAAGCAAGCAGCAATATTTAATTGAACACTTGATTTTAAATCTCTTTTATGCAGGTTCCTGCTTCCAGAGTTAATTCCTTCTGACAATAAATAGCTTGCTATCTCTGGTAATTCCTTTCTTAGAAAAATTAAAAGAACAACAGAAAACAGAGTTCATAGACAAAAAGGAAATCCTATTTGCAAAAATACACCTTTCAGGTCAAACTGAAGCTGTTTATGTATATTGTGGAGTATGATCATAGCTCTCCACAACTTCCTGTCTCTTATAACTCTTAGTAAGGTTTGTCTTTTTACAATCACCCCTAATCTTTGTTCTGTCAACCAATTTACCAAAATGAAAACAAAAGTACTATTTCTCTAAGTTGTCTCACTCTTGCTGGGAACGGAACAATAATCTCCAAAATTGATTCAGTTTCAATAATCTCAAATATCCTTATACTGAGTTTGGATTAAAATAACATACCAAACTCAGAATTTACTGTGCCATAATCAGTGATTCAACTAAAGTGGCTGAATCAGGAACCTGTAACTCCCTTAGCCCAAATACTACAAAAATGCCCCCATCCTTTAAGACGCTCTAAGCATATCACCAAAAAACCTAATCAGCACAATATCAAACACTAAAAAAAAAAAAATTAATTTAAGTAATGCATTCCTTTTCTACTTTTGCTGAAATAAAGTATTCCAAATTTACATTGTTAAAAAAGAAAAAAAAAAGTAGGAGAGATTTTTGTCTTCATATGCAAATCTCCACCATATAAATAGCAGTTGATACAGCTGGAGGCTAAACTAATCCTGACCTTGTAGACAAAAATACTATAGAAATAATAGTGAATATTTGTAATTATAATTTAAAACACATAAGCTTGTAGGTTATTCACTACTTTCCTCTGTCTCTCTTGCACTCGGTATATCTTAATTTCAGTTATTTCTTTCTGATTTTAAGTTGTTTGTTTTGTTTTTTACAGCTTATCAACACTTTGCAGGTTATTTAAAGCTAGAAAATATTTTAGATTGTAAGAATTTTTTTTTTTGATAATATATTATTGATACAATATAATTAGCCCATAGAAAGTGGGAGAAGTGGTGGATTCATACTTTTCCCAAGGGTATTTGCATCTGAGTGAATATATCAAACTCAGTGGGAATTGGAACTCAGCTCTCCAATTTACAATTCTGAACTATTATGCATTACACCACCTACACATTCAAGCTTACAGCACCTGGTATTCCCAATCATCCATTTATGTACTGACCAGGCTCAACGTTGCTTAACTTCAGTGATCATATGGGAACCAGTGAGAAGAGGAAGAGGTAAGAAATGCAATTTATGAGGATATATAAGAACGATAATGGTTAATCCAAAACTTGAAGATGTTAAGATTATAGTGATCCTAGAAGTATCCTCTCGGGAGTCTATTCGACAAGTTTGGAAATAAACTATTCAAATGACACTTCCTTATTACTAATAGAATATGAAGGAAATGAGGATGATTTGTTCCAGTGTACGTGCTACGGTGGGTCTTAGCTGCGAAGGTTAGAAATGGAGGAATTAAGAAATGTATCTCCTCAGATATATTATGAAAATAACATTATAATAGTGAAAGGCTTGCAAAGTTTATTTTATTAATATAAAACAGTATAAAATGATTACAAAAATATGGCTTAAATACAAGTGAACTACAACATTACAAGTTTAGCCAAGGTTGTGGATGGCTGTGTCCTGAGAGAGATTAGTGGTGCTGTCTGCAGTTAATTGATTATTTTATCAAAGCATTTGCTGCTTTTATCAGTCTTTGTAGTCAGTAAGGCATTGTTACTTTGTAATCATCACAGTTCTCTTTCATTTAGAATCATTTCTTTTGATTTAAAAAAAAAACAATATGAGTAGCTATTATTTACATTCAGGCTAATGTCCTGATTTTTGTTGTCATATTCTTGCCTCAATCAGTGTGACCTCTTACCAAAACATGATAATAACAACAAAGATGAGGATATTTATCTAAATGTATAAAAAAAAAAAAGAAAAAAGATTTTACTCTAGATGTTATTCATTCACTCATAACGCTAATATCCTTTTTTTCTTTGTTCAAAATTGTTAACACATGTGGGCTCTTCAACTGAAAAAACTTGTCTTTTTTTAATGCTTCCTCTATTCTGGCAAATATAGTAATTAATTAATTTTAGGTATTGGTTAAAGGGAAGTGTGTAAAGTAGAATCAACAGTCTGAGTTAAAATTCCGTGTTAGTTTATTGCATTCACTTTCGTGCAAATTCCTTTTCCCAAGGATCGCTTCTCTTCTAATACCAACTGGTCTCTCTAGCCTTGAGTGGAAATGTATCTAATAGAAAATTCTCAATTGAAAACTTTGGAGAAAGTCACAAGGAAACCACTCCACTATCTTTCCCAACAAAACTATAGGAAAGAAGATTACTTACTCCATGTGGCAAAGTGAGCACATATGTGTCTGTTGTTCAAAATGAGTGAAGGAAAGGAAAAAGAAATATTGCCTCCCTAACACCTTAATTTAAGAGAAACATGGTCTTGGAGCCAGGAGAATTGGCAAGAGTGGTTGAGCATATGCAAATTTGTCACTGGTACTGCATATATGGAGAGACTTTGTCATTTGGAAAGTGATTACTTGGGTCAGCTACACACAAAAAATATTTCATCTAATCATAATAGAGAACCTTTTCTGACTGCCATCAGCATGGCTGATGCTAGACTCCAAGAGAACAACATGCTGTGCCTTCTTTGCCTCAAGTTTTCTACTGACCCAAAATGGAGTGATACATTGAATCAATAGCTGCATCTACTTCAAGGAAAGTTGGGTCACTGTCTCATGCCAGAAAATTTTCCTCATCAGAATTCATCTTGCACATTTACAAATCCACCATTTGTCTGAAGCATTTAATACTGATGCCATATCTAGTCTAGTGGCCCCTGCTATACATCTCTAGATTCTTGACAAACTCTGAAGAAGGATCTGTAATGTAATCAATCCTGACCAGGCATCTCGGCTTCAGTCACTTTTACACTAACATGACATGGCTTCACTCTGTCTTTTCTAAAAATATTTTCATGGCAACTGCTCTGAAAGCACATGAATTTAAGCATGCTACTAGATTGGCATCTAGATCCTATCCTTTTACTGTTGAAATAGTTAAATGTAACTGCCAATTGTGTTCTAATAGTTTCTTTTCTCACACTTCCTACCTGTGGAACTCCCTTCCATTTACTTGCCTTCCTGATAACTACAATCTTCGACTATTTAAATGCAACATCAATCGTTATCAGCTGTCTTCTTGAATCCCGTTCATCTTTTTATCCTTTCTTTAATCCTGCCTATTCTCAGTCTTCTCTTTCATCTTCACTCCCAGCAACCTCTGTGTCTTCTTTTTACGTGCTGTATCCTTTCAGGATGTAGGCGATCATGGCCCTTCACTTAACCCCTATCCCTTGTGGCTCTCAACAGGTTTTGTGTTTCTGCCAACTCCCCCAGACCATGTTCCACCATCCACCTGCCCAAGCCTGTCACATATGTCATGTGCTGCTTTCCACTGTCTCTTTTTCCATCTATTTGTCCTGTGAGTATCAGATTCTCCAGGCCCTCCTTTCTCATCGTGTGTCATAGAAATTTCATCTGCCTTTTCTTTATGTTAAGTATAAGCTTCCTTCTTGTTTGCATCCTCTCCAAGACCTCATCATTGCTCACGTGCTTGGTCCATGATATCCTCAGCATCCTTCTGTAGAACCATATCTCCATCGCCTCGAGTCTCTTCTTCATCCTTGAGGATACTGTCCAACATTCATTGCCATATAGGAGGACAGATGTCACATAGCAGCTCAGTACTCTTTTCTTTGTCACCATAGAAATCCTCCTGTTTCGTAGTACTCTGCCCAGCTTCTGGTATGTATCCTTGGCCATCCCAATCCATCTTCGGATCTCAACCACATACTTACCATCCTTTGTCAGAATACTTCCCAGATACTTAAACTTCCGCACATGTTTGATTTTAGTTTCCCGACCTGCAAATTGCATTTTGGGCTCATCCTTTTACTGATGACCATGCATTCTGTTTTCTTGTAGTTTATGGTTAGTCCTTTCTTCTCGCTCTCCCTTACTACCATCTGTAACTGGGGTGAATTGATTCAAAAAAAGAAAAAAAAAAACCCTTGGCAATTCACAGATAATCAAGGAAGAGATTCTCTAGAGAGTCAGCATCGCCTCTGTCCTGAAGGGACATAACATTTTGCAAAAAAGAAAAGCAAAGAAAAGTATATAAAAAGATAAACAAAATTCCAATGTTCATGACTTAGTGTCTTTACCATTATCTTCTAATGGAACTGTTTTCCATGTCTTGGATAGCAAAAGACACTTTTATTGGTCGTAAATTTAATATCCAGTAATGATGGCAGGATTTTCTTTTTTCCACATTTCTAAATTTGGTTAGACATATTTTGTCAGATTTATTTCTTTCTGCCTGAATCCTGTTAACCAATAAATAAATCTTGATACTTTTTTTTTTTTCTCTTTTTTTTAGTTGATTAAATATTTCAGAATTTGTAATTAGTATGCTCACTAAAGCAACTGTAATGGTTATTCTTATTCAATCCTATTATTTCTATCCTTCTACACTTGACATAATCTTCAGTAATCAAAGCTTGAAATTTCATTTGAATAAGATAAATTATTATTTTCATCGATTTTTCAAACCAATAATGTCTGGTAGGTTTTACTAGAAATCAAGTGATAGCAAACCACCACAGTACTCCAGCTTACTCTTCCGTTTTCTCAATGTATTTTCTTTTTCTTATTCTAATTATTTTTCTTAATCTTTTTCTAATTTCTTTCATTCTTCTAATTTTTCCTCTTCTTTATAACTATTATTCTTACTATAGCTTTTATTATTACTATTTCTCTTTGAGCTTTCATGTAAACATACAATGGGGCCCTCCCCCACCTTTTCACCAATCATGTACATGAACCTTCACCTTGCATCTTCATCTTCCTTTGCATCAGTGTGCACCAAAAACTAAATAAAGCTCACAGCACACTCACAAAAGGTGTAATAAATGCTATGGCAAGAAATGAAAACTCAAATCCCTTTTCCAATATATTTTGTTGTTTCTTTCAGAGATTCACTTGCACAGACATTTAGGTAGTTAGGTAGGGGATACTTGAAGATAACTTCTGACATATCAGAATAGCAGATCACTCGGCCCTTGACTTTTACCGCTGCATTTGGTCCTTGACTTTTACCGCTGCATTTGGCCCTTGACTTTTTACCGCTGCATTTGGCCCTTGACTTTTACGCTGCATTTTGGCCCTTGACTTTTTACCGGCTGCATTTGGCCCTTGACTTTTACCGCTGCGTTTGGCCTTGACTTTTACCGCTGCATTTGGCCCTTGACTTTTACCGCTGCATTTGGCCCTTGACTTTTACCGCTGCATTTGGCCCTTGACTTTTACCGCTGCATTTGGCCCTTGACTTTTACCGCTGCATTTGGCCCTTGACTTTTACCGCTGCGTTTGGCCCTTGACTTTTACCGCTGGATTTGGCCCTTGACTTTTTACTGCATTTGCATTTGACTTTTTTACGCTGCATTTGGCTTTTTACCGCTGCATTTGGCCCTTCCAGCTTTTACCGCTGCATTTGGCCTTCCAGCTTTTACCGCTGCATTTGGCCCTTGACGGCTTTTCGCTGCATTTGACGCCAGCTACACCGCTACATTTGACGCCAGCTTTACGCTGCATTTGGCCCTTGACTTTTACCGCTGCATTTGGCCCTTGACTTTTACCGCTGCATTTGGCCCTTGACTTTTACCGCTGCATTTGACCCTTGACTTTTACCGATGCATTTGACCCTTGACTTTTACCGATGCATTTGACCCTTGACGCCTACCAGCACACATGGCCCTTGACTTCTACCAGCACACATGGCCCAAAACTCTTACCAGCACACATGGCCCAAAACTTCTACCAGCACACATGGCCAAAAACTTCTGCCAACCCACTTAGCCCTCAACTTCTACCAACACAAAACACTTAAGACCGTGACACATCATCCTATATAAATGTCCTTATTGTAGTATCACATTCACAACAATAATAACTGGAGTTCAAGTAATAACAGGTCACATACTCTTGTCATCCTCAATAGGTCTGTAATGTCTCAATTATTCCTCAGATATTCAATTCTTTCAAGCTTCCATTCATGCCATTTAATAAAGGTCCAATTACATCTATGATGAATACAACCCTCATCATATTTCAGAATTTTTTTCTTAGTTCTCTGAC